GTTGTGTTCAGCCTCTGATATGTTTAACAGATGATGCAGCGGCGTGCCGCCTCCGCTCGCCGCACAGGGAGCGTAGATTGATATTAATGAAATCAACAGAAAACAAGACCAAATTGATGATGGACCCAGGAGGTTTAGAGACTGCTGAGAGTGTTTTTCAAGCTCTCGGTCGAGGTCTAATGGAGGTCTCAGAAATGATGGCGAGGAGGCTTTGTGCAGCACTGAATGAGGAGAGAGGTAGATTGATGTTAAGAGGCAGAAAGAGCTTCGAGGATAGAAGAAAAAAAAATGATGCGTTGGAAGCGCCACCTGGAGAACAGAGATGCTGAGCTCCTGCAGGACGTTACCTTCAGACGACTCCACCAAAACCCACCGCTCTGTTTAAAGTCCTCCCCAGAGAGCCGCTTTTAAAATGCACTCTAAATACTTTTTCATGAATAATTTGGTTCTGTTTATATGATGAAGCCGTGGTTTTCGGTCAGCTCCTAAAAGCCGGAGGCCCCGCTGATCAGCTGGAGAACAGCGAAGCCGCTGAATGTCTGAATGTCGAGGAAGCAGCTAGATGTTCCTGTGATTTAATCAAGAGATTTTTTCTTCCATCTTCTGACTCCCAGAATCTGAAGGCCTTGGAAGTGGTCCTTCATTAATGTGCTGTAGGGGAACGCAGCATGAAGCTGCCACCCTCGTGCTTCATGGTAAAATGGCCCTTCCCAGTCAAACACCAGCCAAATGGCAGCCTACTCCCCTGCGACTCCCAGAAAAATCCCCTCCAGCTTTCATCCACTGGCCTTCTCCTGGTCATGCATTATTTTTACTCCCTACACCCTTTCACTGAATTACAGGGTCTGACCAGGAGATGGCGCTTCTCTTTAGATCTTAATGTGCACAAATCATGGCAGAAAGAATATTTCAGTAGCAATGGCACCACTGGTGCTTCGCTTGCCTGATATATCTCCGGCATTAGCAATCTATCTTTATTGAAAAAGCTTTTTCTCCGCTGCAGTCATCCACATCCAGTCCGTAACTGGTTTTTACAACATGACAAAGAAGTTCAGGTTTTCCAACTCCAACAATGATCTTTTTGCATCCATTCCAGGTGTCGCATCCCTGGAACCACCAGAAATCCTGCTTGTGGCATATCTATAAAAGCATCTGTCCAATCTCTTAGCATCAAATAACTCCTGCTGGGCACGTCTACAGAGGGAATACGTAAATTTGTCAATGTGAACGTACCGTTATTCACAGTATAAGAAGCAGATAATGATCATTGTATAGAGAAACATACAACTGCTTTTACTGCAAAAGACACATAGCAGAACATAATGGTCAGAAAATTAAATGCAAAAACAGCTCGATCCCATGTTGCTGGAGTCTCTGGAAAACTCAAGATCCAAACACATAATCCCAGTACATTTCAAACCAAACAAAACCCTTAAACATAGACTAGTGCATCCTAAAGACAAAACCCCCAGAGCGCCATGAGCTGAGTTGTGTATGCAGTTCAACGCAGTGAAGAATGCTCTGATCTAAACCAAACAACCTCTCCACAGACGCATGGCCTAACACAGTACACATACACATACCCGTACACACGTATACACGTACACATACCCGTACACATACACCTTAAGGAAAAATGACATTTGTTTAAGGGACCAGAATGTTTGCATTTTAGGTAAAGAATTTTTGATAAAGAGGTGAGGTGGTTTGAAAGGGGTGTGAAGGAAGCATTTTTTGTTAAGAGAGAAAAAAAAAACCTTAAACAGAGGGGGTGGACTCTGGTTTCAGCTCTCAAAAACCTACAAAACAGCAATAGAGTTGATTCCTTCCCAATACCATCTTAACTCCCATCGCTGTGCAGGGTACCAAAATATCTCACCAGGTCAGCCAGGCCAACAATGACAATTAAAGATCGCCTTTTCAGAGGAATGGGCCAGTATCGGCTATTGGAGGCCAATAACGACTGCAATTAATCCCATTTATTAAGGGGTAGAGCTGGTTTTCCAGTTTCATTGTGAGAGTTTTTTAAGCCATTGCAAGGCTGTTGTTGGGCTATTCTATTAAAACCTGGAACGCAACGCTAATCCAGACATTTTCTATAGAGAAAGCTTCCTGGATGGGAAGCGAAACGTCTTCAAACTTGGAAAAAAAGTCCAGTGTTTTTTTTTTTTTTTTTACTTTTTGAACTGCTTTTAAACTTAGACTCAACTTTATTTATGGGATTACTTCTTCAGGAGTATTTTAATTTTACTTTCACCCTTATTAGTCTTAATATCAGAATTGTTATGAATAGTTTTTGATTTCTGTTCGCCAATTTATTTAATAATCACAATTTTTTCTCAAATTAAATTTTTTCTGAAAAACATAGAAAAATAATTAAAATCCAAATTATGAAAAAAAAAGAAAAATGAAAAAGAGGTATGTGTTCTGAAATACACAGTAAAACAAAAAAGACATTTAGCTGATGTTAGTTAGACACGCATTTGATACTAAGGACAAAGCTTTAATTCTTCGACTTATTCCGCAGACGCATGAAACGATGGGGCTGAAAAATGTTTCCTGATGAGGAAAAAAAAAGGAAAACAGACCAAGAAACTTGTGCAGAGAGCTTTGAGAAGTATTGATCAGGAACACTTTAAAATATCAGAGGAAGTCTTGCTGCTTGCAGGGCACGCCGAAGGGATGAAATTGTGACCACACACACAACAACATCTCTGCTAAGTGTAAGTGTGAGGTGAGTTCTCGATGCAGTGATATCACAGGCAGGCAGAGGAGTGCCGGTCAATAATTCATTAGGTAGAGGGCTCAACTCAAGTTCAACCTGAATAAACCCCCCTGCAACCACATCCTCACACTCAGCCTCCTTCAAGGCCTTTAACTTTCTTCTAGGCTCTGTTTTTCCCCACAGTTAAAACTTTAAACTCATCCTTGGATTCCTGCTTATGTCTAATAACTCATGCTGAACACATCTAACCCTTGATGAGACATGAATTGACAGTTGTGCCAGAATCCAAAAACAACTTTCCTTTCACAGCACACCTCCTGTTTCTAGCTCCTCAGGAGGATTTTTATTCATCTGAAGGCTTGTCAGAGACTTCAGTCTGTGGTTGGTGATAAGCTTTGCTCCACCGGTGGAGGCTGTTTTACTGGGGAGTGAGGAAAGTGCAACTCGATGCAACGGCAGTACAAACTGCTCACAGCAGCATGTTTGTGCCGGAGCATCATTAGAGCAAAAAGGTCGCCATGGAGTAAACTTCGTCCTGTTAATGTTTCAGGAAAAAACACATTTTGTAAAAGGAAATTAACTTTGAAAATCTTTGAAATTTAAAGTCGTAGGAGACTTATATTGAAATTTCAAACCATTTTGGCTTAAACATGTATATAAATGTACTTTTTATCAGACCATATTGTCCCAAAAGTTAGAAAATTCCTAGTTTGAAAAAATCCTGTCTCAAAATCTGTGCTTTTTTCGTTATCTTATGCAGGCCAGTTAGTTATACGTCAGCCTGAACACCTAAATTCGGCCAATCATATATCAACGGTCATCTGTCAATCGATTTTTTCGGTCATAGCATCTTGATTCATATGTTGCAGCTAATATACGCAACGGTTGAAATAAGAAATCAGAATCATTTCCTTTCCCATTGAGTTGCGTCCCAGTGTTCACGGGGATGGACGTCTGTGTCTTCGGCAGGCGTAGAGCTAACAGAACTGGCAGCGTTGCGAGGCAAGGGCTCAAACATGTACGGCTGGAAGCCTTCTACACCAAACCAAGCTTCTGCCGCCCTGGCGTCCTCTTCCACAACATCTTCATCCCCGCTTTCCTCCTCTAAATAAAAAATGGATGAAGGAGGAGACTCATCCACGACCTCCGACACTAAACTCTCCTCCTCTTGCATGTTTCCTCTGTCCATAGCGTTCCTTGACAGCGTCGTTTCTAAGTCACCAATTTAGTGCTACTTGGTCCCAATGGAATTTCCCATTGGGAACCTACTAGCACTAAGTTGCTAACTGGTTAGCAAGATGCTTCCGACAAACCGGCCACAATGAAACTTACTTGCGAACCTTCTGCCACAACAATCCCACCCCCTTGATAAACAACCAATCATATTTACTTTGTTCACTCAAATAAAGTCGTGCACCACTTGAGAGAATTCGGAAACGCAACCTTTCGAACAGCCGTTTCCCTACGACCTTTATCACGAATTTTGCTGTTTCACAGATTTTATTTAGTTTAAATGTATTTGGCATGTATTTTTTGTTTAAAAAATCTTTTTTTTTTTTTTTTTTACAAATTTAATGTTTTAGAGTAAAAAAAAATAAAATTAATTCTCAAAACCCACTGGGTCGACGCCGACCTGTTGTAAAGCCTTTACAACTAATAACTCAGAATGGATGAAAATTACACCAATAAAATGTTTACCAATGTAGACATGCTAGATAGAAAGCTTAGATTCTCCACAATTCAACCACCAAGTTCATTTTATGGACACAGCGAGCACCAAAGCACAATTAACACAGATATAGCAGCAAGTCAAAATGTAAACATGACAAAGCAGCCACAACAAGCCAGCATGTCTTTATTACTGCTGTTCAAAAAAGACCTATTATTTTCAAGAATAAAAAAACAACAACTTTGACTCATGTTTGAACTGATGCAGCTTGGGCTGTGTTTTACTCACCCAATTTCCATGTATATATTCAGAAACTAAAAAGTGTTAGCTTTTAAATAATGTATCACACATGTAATTTGTAAATAGGGGAGAATTCCCCAAAATGAGCTGGATGTGAAGACATTAAATTGAGTTTTACATATCAATTTCTCATGACAAGAAGCACTTTGTAAAGACCGATCTGAGAGAACAGAAATAATAACAGTAGAAAAAAAAATAACATTTGTAAAAAAAAAAAAGAAAAACAAATTTCAATATTTACATTAAGATTTTTATTCACATTTAAAAAGTGTGTAAAAATGTCTGACATTAGAATGAATGACTTACCTCATAGAGAGTGATAACACCGTTTGTCTCGTTGGGAGCTTTCCACTGCATGAAGATCTTCTCTTCATATGGAGTATTCTGCAGCGATTCCATGGGCACTGAGCCAGGTACTGCAAAATAAACCAGAACATTTCCCTTTATTGATTGCTCATCATATTAACTTCAGTTCTGTTCATTTCTATAGTGCCGATTCACAACATTTCTTCTCGATATGGCAAGCCAAATCGGCCACAAATACTCACCGTTACCACAAAACTAACTAACAGGCTTTTTAAGTCGAATGATCAATCTAGTCTGCTCATATAAGAGCAATAGAGCAGAAAGAAGTGCTCATAAACTGAGCTTCAAATCCTAATGATCTCCAGATTAGGAAACATTAGGATTTCTTTGTCGGTGTTATTGTTTCACTTTTGGGTTTTCAGTTACTTTAATTTATGCCATTATGTGCCTTTAAGTCATTAGTTTCATTTCCATTTAGTGTCTTCTAAGTTTTTTCTAGTGATATTTAAGCACTGTTGTATTTCTTGTTTATTCCATGCTGCCCCTTGTGCCAGTCTCCTTTCCCATAGATCCCTTCTAGATCCTTCTGTCCACACCTGCTCCCAACCAGCTGATTACTCCATTGTTCTTTTTGCCGTATATATTCCTCCTCTGCAGTTGCTGTTTGCTGAACTCTCTTTATTCTGTCATTCCCATGGTTTATTCCTCCTTGGTGTTTTTTCGTTTTTTGGGTTTTCTTGTCAATCGGTTTTGAATTATGGATTCTGTGGTTTTACTTCTTCATTAATTTTTGACAACTGAAGCAATTTTTCAGGTTGCTTTTTTTATTCAAAATGCATCCATCAGGCTGCTTAAAAAGTGGACGAGGAAGGAGAATAAACAAGCAGAGACCTGGCCTCAAGTGGCCAACAATCGCTGTTCAACGATTTCAGAACCTCTTTGCGATTGGCTCACAGGGAAATTCTGCAGAACGCATTGGAATCGAATGCAGACCAGCAATACTTAGTGGAGGTGACATAAAGGGGGGCAATGACGGAAACTAACTCATTTTTAATTGAGTCTTTATGTGTTGAAGTTTCTAATTATAGAGTTAAGTGCAGTCCATCTAAAACTGTAGAAAAGAATTCAAGAAGTTATTCAATATTTTATCTCAACAGACACTGATGCATAACAAAGAAATTCAAACAATCTCAAACAATAAAGAAGTTAAGTTTAAAAGATTGTCAAAATGAGATGACTTAAGTATAATTTCAGTTTCCTGCAGTCTATTTTATTTTATTAATTCTAAAAACAGCATTTTTACAAATATTACTCCCAAAAAAAGAATATTTTGTTTTTGTCTTGGAGCAAAGCTGCTGTTTCCAGCTGCAGATCTTTCTCTGCATAAGATTTGAATATAAAAATGTCATGTTTCATATAATATCATCTAATTCAGAGATGGTTGAGCTCGCATGAGGATTTTGGTGATGTCATAAAGAGAAGAAAGAATAAAAAACAGAATATTCGTTTCAACATTCAGGTTACTCTTGCTTTATCAATCTCTTCAGAATGTAAAAAAAATTTCAGAGCATCTGCTGGGTTCTTAATCAGGTTTTTGATGAAACTCGACACATGTTGGGATAGATTTACATGGAGATGGGCTATAATTTGTACAAATTAAAGAAGCCTTCGTCTAAGCTAAAGGAAGACAGACAGGTAGTAATGAAGTGGGATAAATCCCAAAGTAACCCTGCAGACTGAATAACAGAACAACCGCTGAGACAAAAAGACAGACGGCACTTTGATTTTCTTCAACTGCAGGAAGGTTTTTCACTCACTACTGAGAAACAATCACAGGAAATGTACAAAGACAATTACAGATTCAGTCTAAATGACTAATCAGATAAAAACTTTTACCTTTGTGTTTTGATTGCAGATTCAGAAACATTTGGGGGATTTTGTTTTTCTAACATTCAGCCTAAACACCATTATGCACTAAAACAAAAAATAAAAAACTACAGAATTTAGCGGAAAAAGTGAAGGCAACCATTTGCACTGGGTTTGGTTCAGTAAATCTACCTGTTTTATTAGAAAAGTTGAGCTAATTTTAAAAGCTATAGAAAAATAAGAGACATTAGGTAACATCTACTCAACATTTCAAATCTGTAAACATTCTCAGCACCAAAAGGTCTCAAGCTGGGATCAAACCATCAGATCATCCCAGGCTGGGATTCAACCACGGTCTTCATGCTTTACAAACTGCAGCACCACAACAGGTGAGTTGCCTTCACATTAGACGTATTTTTTTGAGCATAAAAAAGGCCTCCAACTTCTCAACTTGAACCCTTGTGCACTTTGTAGTCAAATGCGTCAGAAGTTCGAATTTTAGCAACGGTACTGTAGATTCGGAGATGAATCAAAAGCAACAATCTTGAAAAGTTCAGTCTAGGCAACTTGACGTTAAGTTTTCTAGAAGACAATTCGAGGAGGAGACTTCTTCAGTTCTAACCAGTGGTGGGGAGCACTGAGTAGAATATACTGTATGTCTTAAAAGGAATTAAAAGGGGGAAAAAAAGGTGGCTCTGATCCCTCCTCTTGGATTGGCCATGGAGGTCATTTGGGGGTTAATGCTTGCTAGGGGGTTCTGATTGGTCGTTAACTCAGGATGGTTTCCGTATCATCCCTCATTGAAGTAGGAGTCAGGTGAGGGCAGGTAAGAGGGGAATATTCTGGATATTATTCCTAATATAATACAATACTTAAGGGAAAGAGAAATCCCGCCAGCTTTACCAAATAGAAAAGAGTTCGACTGACATACACAATAAAATAACTGAAATAATTTTTTGCCGTATAAACAGGCTCAGAGTATTAGATGGTAAACTCTGCCTAGTAACAGAGCAGTGTTGTCTGTTTATGGTTGTGTTTTCAGAAAAAAAGCTTATTTCACACTGAAGAAAGGAGTAGAAATGGGGCGGGGGTGTCAGACATCTTGTCTAGAAGTAACAGCATGTTAAACACACACAGCCAAAAAAAGTGAGACAAAAGCACACCTACGGGTGTGAGCTGCACAGACTCTTGTTCAGATTCGCTGTTTCCCTGAAGGGTCTGCTCAGGTTGAAGGACTGCATCTCATTTTTAGCTCTTCTACTAAAGAAAGAACTGGGTTTCATTGAAAATTATGAAAAAAAAACTTATAAATGGAATAAAAGGATAACAAAATATATTTTGTAAATGGAAATCGCAAAATTATAATAAGACTTTAAAAACCTTTTAATGAAAAAAAAAAGGTTTGAGTGTAACCTTGCTGCTTTCTCTTATTTTTTTTTTTCAAATTGTATTTCCATATTTTGTTGTTTATGTATTTTTTTTAAAAACTTTGTTAAGATCTCTATTTTTCAGACTGAGCTTCTGGGCTTTGTTTTTGATCAGTTTGTTAGTAAATAAAGACCTTCATGTTTATTTACATTAAGTAGCCTATTGTGGCTAAGCCAGTTAGCATCTCAAAGCAAAGTGTGAATGAGGTAGAGAAGTTCAAGATTCAGATTGAAAGAAGCACAAAGAAACAACATGATTTTCAATAAAGCTGGGATCCAGTCTGATCGTTGTGTTTCACTGAAGAAGAGCTAAAGCTGCTGAGGCGTTCAAATCAGGGGCGGATTTAGGAAATTGCTAGATTTGGTGAAAAGGATATTTATCACAAAAATAATTAATGTGCACAAATAAGGAATAGTTGTATTAACTATACATGTAAATAGTTTTATGGGGCCCCTAGACCCGAGGCAACTGCCTAGTTTGATGTAAGGATAAATCCCCCCCTGGTTCAGATGTAGCTGCTAAGCTAATAGATGCTGAGGAAACATCCTGATTAATACTGATACCAGTGATAGAAATGATAATATTGTTCTCTACTGCACAAACAGCTTTGTAAAAAGAAAGAAGAATTGACTGCCTGGTTCTGACTTTGATGTTGTGTTTGTTAGGAACAGGATTTTGATTTCCCTTTAATGTTCCGATAAGATTTTCTAAATAGGGTTCAATAAATCTCAGTTTCTGTAAAACAGTTGGTTTAATTCATATTGGTTGGTCTTTGAAAATGTTGAGCTATTGCTTTACCGTGAGGCATGGCTAAATGGATGGGCTCTATCGATTGGTCCACATGTGTTTTTCTGGTAGTTCTGTGGTTTTGCCAGCAGATGGAGCCATGCCTGTTCATGGTGCCCAGTGCTGAAAGGCTATTTAGGCTCAAAAAGGACTAAACGCTATCAGGAAAGCCTTTTGGTGTTTATAACCTTATTTGCTAAGAATCAGATGTTTTTTTGTCTTTTCATAGAAGCAGATAAATATGACCCTGCCTATTTATTTTCCACCTAAAAAAATATGAAGTTACTGAAAAACATTTGGGCGTCGTTCCTCAGTTTAAAAGGGAACTGACTTAAAGGCTATTTCGTTTTTAGAGACTTCTATTCTTATTTTACTGCAATCAAATGTTTTAATAAGCTGGTAAACACTACCAGGGCTGCAGTAAGCAACAGAATAAAGCCGATAAAACTGAAAAACATTGTTGGAAAAGGTCAGCAGCCTTTTCAGCAAACCTTAGAGATTTGCAGCATGTTTTACATAAACATTTCTAAGTAATCAGCAGGATGTTATGACTGTAAGACATTTATGCACTGTTTGGACACAACTACGAGAGGAAAGGTTGACAACATTGTTCAGATTTCTACAATCTGTCCTTTTCCTAGCTGAAAAGACGAAGACCCCATAATTCTTCCCTGGTGGACTCCATGAGAGACAGAGGGCTGATAATGCCACACAAAAAAGAATCTCCAGATGACTTTTTAGAATTAAAACAGTCTCTGATACCATTTACTTTGTTTTTATGAGCCACCACTGACCAGAAAAACACCCTAAAAACAATCCTGGCTCCTGAGGAAGGAACACATATCTGTTTGCACTAAATAAGAAACAAAAGGACTGTCAGATGAGGTGAAGCACACAGGAAAACAAACATTTTAGGGAACTGTCAGAAGATTTGGATAAGTAATTCCAAGGTGTTGATTAAGGGCCTGGTCTGTGGAGTGCACCAAATTATCCTCACAAAGAAATGCAATTACAAACTGCTATTTCATTC